ATTCGTTTTCGCTTTATATGCTGAATAAAATAGATCTAATTCTTAATTTCAAAGCTATTCTGTAAAAATATTAATCATTCAGTTCATCGCACATTTTATACGTAAAGATGTGAAACTGTATTTAATTTATGCGTAGCTCAGACGCACAAATTACATGCGTGGTGCTGGGATATTTGAAACAATATCTGTGGAGTAAACAGCATTTGTGGAGTCAATGAAACCGCAGATGACATCTCAGAAGTCCAGACAAGCAAGAGAAGAATGCGTAAATAGCTATGTAAAAGTTACGGTTCCACTTTATTGGTTAGTTATAAGTTTCGACTTGCACATTTAATATTATTAGCGGCTATCGGCTGAAATACTTTTTAAGTTCATACTGCCACTACGCAATAATAACCTAATATAAAAGGAAATTTACCAATTTTATTTTACTTTAGGCCTTTTTAAAGGTTAAAGAAAAAGCGATTAAAATTCACATACAAGATTAAATTTTTAAAAGTAAAGTATAAGTTTCGCATGAATATTAAACTAGTAAATCTACGTCTAAAGTATAATCTTTATCTTCTTTTTATAATGCTTATTTTCCACAATAAGTACCGCTTGTGGTATATTTCTTCATAGCAGTAATTCGACGAAATCAATACAGTCCTTGTTTACAAAACGCTATTCTTTATTTTGCTACAAAGAGGAAGAAGGAAAGCAATAAATCTTTTCCTTAGCCTCATTTTATTGCAACGATAAAGCTTCTCTTTATTATCGTTATCTGGAAAAGTAGTCTAAAAGAAATCTTTCGTTGTTGACATTTGATTCTCCGTTAATAAAAAGCATTCAAGCTGTTTGATTCAGCAAACGTAGCGCTATGTTAAGTAACATCGGCTTTCTTCTAAATGAAGGGTGAAAACAGTAATATTATTTGCCTCGAATACACTTTTTTTTGTATATCAGTTGGCTTCTATCATAATCATACCAATTTTTATATTAAAAAATTATTCTAAAGATTTTACGATGTCTACATCTGTCAAGCTTAATAATCAGGCACAACTAATGTCCATTTATTATATGAGAGATGTTTAAATACATTTACTGTTTATATTTGAATATCTATCACAGGGATGTCAAACTCATAGGTACACTGGGCCAAACAAACAAGGTTTAACTTTAGGCCAAAAAAAAAAAAAAAAAAAAAATCAATATTCATAGAAACGTAGATTTATTTCGAATAATACAATAATAAACATATATATAAACATATATATATTTATATAGAAAAGAACAAGAAAAATTTAATGTTTATGTCCTGATACTTGACATCTCTTCTCTGCTATTATCTTTCCTATTTCGGGAGAAATTTTGTTTGCAGTGATAACTTTCAACGCTGACCCAAGGTGAGCATCATTAATTACGGTTTCTAATAGGAGACTTATTACCTTTCATGACAAATAACTGCTCGCACCGATAAGTGCTACCAAACATGGAAATAATTTCATATGCGAATTTTCGAGTATTTTCAAACCTGGCTGGTAAATATTTGTAAAATTCAGGCACGCCCACTTCAATGAATTTGCTTTCAAATTTGAGTTGCATTGAAATCTCGATCACCTCCATTTGCATATCGGCTGGGTACTGAGTCAATACTTATTGAGAAAAATCGAAGAAAACAAAAAAAAAAATTGTCTTCGAGGGAACTAAAATCATTAAACCTCGTTTCAAATTCAGTTGTTAAATTTGCAATTTTTTCTGCGTATTTTTGATACGAACAAATATCATCTAAACTTGATTTATTCATGCTGCAACGTCGGGAAGTGCGTCAAATCTTCATTTTTAAGTTGTTTTTCCCAAAGAACTAGTTGACATTTGAATGCTTTAATTATGTCAAACATGTTCGTAATGATATGATCTTTTTTCCTTGTAACGATAAATTTAAACGGTTAAGTGTTTGGTTATATCAACCAAGAAAGATAAATCTTGTATCCATATTGGATCGTAAAACAAACTTACGTCTTGATTTTCGTTTTTAAAAAACTGACATATTTCTTCTTTCAAATCCCAGAATTGTTTGAGAATCTTGGAAGCAAGATAACCAACGTACCTCGGTATAGTAGGACAAACCCGAAATATTCACTATCTAACTCACTTAAGAAAGCAGTGAATTGACGCTGATTTAAACCTCGAGATCTTATTAAAATTTATACTTTTTTATATATGACAAAACATTCTCCATATTTATTACTTTCGTGCATAGAACTTCTTGATGTATAATACAATGCATATGATGAATGTTTGAACCGTGAATTTTACTAAGTTTTTTTCCTAGTAATGCTACGAAGCCCTTGTTTTTCCCGGTCATTGATGGAGCGCCATCTGTAGCTAAAGAATTTAATTTTGCCAAAGGTAGATTGTATTTCTCCAGAAGTCCAAAAACACAAGTAAATATATCTTCAATTTTAGTATGTTGCAGGCCGGAGTGGTCGCCGGTTATCATCGCAGCGGAACAAGACAACATTGCAGTACTCCTGAAAGTTCATTCACTTACTTTGGCCATCGCTTCGAGGTACTCGCCACCGACAGTGGAAATTGGGCCCACTGCAAGGTTCATGGAGCAAGTTTTACACAAGATAAAGATTCCATACGTACTTTTCGGGGGAGATTATAACGCCCATAATACTACCTGGGGCTATCGTGCCACGGACACAAAGGGCAGAGAACTGGAGGACTTCCTCAGCTCGAAAAATCTTGTTATCCACAATACCGCAGAAGCGCCACCCTCCTTCGACAGAATCTTCGCTCGGGGCTGGCCCGATCTCACTATTACGTCTTTGCAAGCAGCGTTCTTACTGACAGATTGGAAAGTAGATGATCAAGAAAGTCTAAGTGATCACAAATTTTATAACTTACTCTCTGCGGCAGTCGACATCTATCACCAAAATTAAAAGGTACAATCTCCCAGGTAGAAAGCTCCTTACCTTCACTAGGAAGGTTAAAAGGCACCTGGAAACTCTTGAACCGGCGCTACAGCATGCAGACACAATGGCAGACTTGGAGAATTTCTCCATCAGGCTACAGAACACCCTACAATTAGTTTGTGACCAAAATCTCCCCAAGAAAAAACCTCAGAAGATAAAGGAAATGCACTGGTGGACGGGCGCATTACAGAAGCAACAGCGTAAATGCAGGGCTTTGCGAAGGAGATTGAAGTACGAGAGGCGGCTAGAGATCACCTCGGACACACTCACCATTTTTCAAAGAGAGCGAGCAAAATACAAAAGGATGATCATCCAGGCCAAAGTAACATCTTGGAGAGAGTTCTGTTCCAATACAAAAGAAGTATACGGGCTGCATCACAAGATAGCAACGGGGAAGGTGTTCAAGCCTTCGCAGCTTCAAATCCCGTCATCACTGGATAGCAGCCAAAGCTACACGACTGACACTTTGAATGTAGTTTTAAATACTGTGTTCAGTCAGGACGATGCAGAGCAAGACACCGCCGAACAAGCTGCCCTTCGAGCAGATACAAATAGTGTAGACACAGAAGCAGATCCGGAATTCACGCTTCAAGAACTGCAGAGAGTGCTGGCAAGTCTGCCGCGAAAGAAAGCCCCCGGGACAGACGGCATGGACTACACAATCGTAAAAGCTACCATAAAGGCATACCCTACATTCTTCGTAAGCTATTTCAATAAGCTTCTGTCAGTAGGACTTTTTCCAACACCATATAAAATAGGGCAAGTGGTATTATTCCTCAAGAAAAACAGAGATCCTTCAGAAGCCTCATCATTCAGACCCATCTGCCTTTTGTCGGCGATGGGGAAGGTGTTGGAAGAAGCTAATCATCAACAGACTGCGCCACCACTTGCATCTCAACGGTTATCTCAGCAGCAGCCAATATGGCTTCAGGACTGGTTCATCGACGGTGCATGCCCTCCATAATATAAAGGAGGCAATTCTGGAAAATAGACACAGCGGCCACCACACGGCTATGGTCAGCATAGACCTAAAGAATGCTTTCGATACGCTGTGGTGGCCGGCTATCAAGCAGGCATTACGAAGGGCCAATTGCCCAAGTAACATATATAGTATAATAAGCAACTACCTGCAGGATCGGAAGCTATTAGCGGTGCATAATGCAGGCATTATCGAAAAGGTGCAAACTAGAGGATGTCCGCAAGGATCGTGCGCCGGGCCGCATTTATGGAACTTAACGTTCAATGAAGTACTGACAGCGACGTGGCCGGCGCACACTAAAATCATTGCATACGCGGATGACGCGGCGCTTATCGTAAAGGGTACCACGCGAGAAAAATTACAGAAAAATTGCAATGAAGTTTGCGCGATCTTTCATGACCAGTGTACCAAACTTAAGCTCACAATTGCAGAACATAAGTCAAAAGTCCTTTTAATTCCGAAAAAAGGAGGATCCTTAGTAAGACGCCCCACCATAAAGATTAACAACCAACGCCTGCAGATAGTGGACCAGCTAAGATATTTAGGGGTCACTTTTGATCATAAGATGACCTGGATCCCTCACGTGCAGGATCTCAAACTCCGGACGGCAGCCATAGCCAAACAAATGAAACTCTCTTTTATGGTCACAAATGGGGGCTTAACCCCCATATTCAAAAGGTATTGTACACGACAGTCATCGAGAAGATAGTGACGTATGCTGCCGCAGTATGGGCCTACCCAATGCAAGGAAGGAAGGTCAGACATCTTAACAGCATACAACGACCATTCGCATTGGGAATCACACACGGGCCTACCGCACCACCTCCACCGATGCCATTAACGTACTTGCTGGTCTCCTTCCCCTGCACATCCGGGTTGAGGAGGAGGCAGCACGCCAACACATTTTGCAACTTAAGAAGGCAGTTACTTTTGACGATGAAACATACTACCCGGATGAGTACGAAACAAACTTCTGCCCTCTTGACGTCCACCCGGCAGAGAAAGGCAAAGGGATACTTATCTCAATTAATCCCACTGCAACTCATCACTCAAGGGAAATGACCATCTATACAGACGGGTCTAGATTGGACGAAAGAGTGGGATGCGCCTATGTCGCCACGAAACAAGACAACGCAATCGAGAAATGGAAGGGACAGTTAAGACAACATAACAGTGTCTTTCAAAGCGAAGCAGTGGCAATTGCACAAGCGATTCGCTACCTGCACTCGCACCAGCATAGCCATGTCACCATTAAAACGGACAGCTTATCATCGTTATATGCCATTTGGAATGCAGATCATCCCTCGGAGATTATACAGGGAATCCAGAGAGATCTTAGAAGTAACCCCCAGTACCGCACAAAATTAGAGTGGATAAAGGCTCATGTTGGCCACTATGGCAATGAACTTGCCGACCAACTCGCCAAAGAGGCAACAACTGACCCGCCTGATGCACCAATTATCATCCCATGGCCGCATTCGTATTTAAAGAAGACACTACGCCTAAGGGCTACTGGCATGTGGCAGAACGAATGGGACCAAAGCACCACAGGGAGAAGGACCCACTACTTCATCGGCTATGTGGACACTAGCCGAAATGTAGCGAACGCACAGTTGGTAAGGTTCATTTCCGGGCATGGGCCCTACCCGGAATATTTCTTCAAGCGTGGCATAAGTCACACAAGTCAATGTGCATGCGGCGACTCAGGCTCACCAGAGCACTATCTAACGTCATGCCCATTAACAGAAGGACTGCATATCAATCTCCCTGAAACAAATCGCCAGCCGTTCTGTAAATATATGATAAAACAGCGGCACTTTATTAAAAAGCTGGTACAGTTGATGGACAGACTGTCCGACTTAGATACAGACTTGTGTCAGCCATAGAACAACCCAGCATGTAAAAACAACTTAAGCATTTTTAAAAAGGACATGTATTGCAATGTAGGAAAACTGTCATTCAAGTGAATTGTAAGAAACTATAATGTAGACTAGAAACTCACAGTATAAAGACTGCCTGTATTCATACCTGGAAAGTCAGTTGCATTTAACAATGTGCATGTACTGTGTAAATAAATTTCGGCAAATTATACCGTAAGACCATATATAATGAACCGATATATAATGTAGGCATAACGAATGTATGAAAGTGCATATATCTGTAAGCAAAGTAATGTAAGGGAGTGTAATATATGTAAAATATTTTTGTGTATCAGTAAGCTATGTATAAGTAAGTTATGCAATTTAAAGTAATGCAATATAAATGCAGAAATGTCTAATAAAAATGCATGGGTAACATATATGTTTTGTATTATGAATAAGGGATATAGGATGTCTAACGCAAAGCAATGTATGTATTGGAATGTCTATTTCATGTACTGGAAAATTATGCAATAAGTACCCAAATAACATGTAATGTAAGTAACCTGTAAGACTATTATGTTTGTAAATATTTGTATCTAAAAAATTAATCAGAATGTATCTGCATGTATCTATATGCAACTGCAAGTATATGTAACCTAAGGTTAAGCAGTGTAGGTAAAATTAAGTAATATGTGAAGCAGGCGTGCCTGACTATGTATGTATATAAAAATAATGTAACGCAAGGCACATGTAATATTGGCATATGTAACTGTACATGCAAACTGTATTTATATGCAATCTACAAGTAATGTAGGTATATTTATTGAAATGTACAGCTAAAAACTGTAACTGTACACAAAAGTAATCCAACGCAATGTAAGATTAATGTAATTCAGGTAATGCATATGCATTGTATGCCGGAAATGAGAGACAAAGTCAGTATGTAACTCTGTAAATCACGTTATCCATAGAATATGTTAACCAGCAAACAAGAA